TTTTTTTTTTTTTTTTTTTTTTTTTTAGTTATCAACTGCTTTGGAAGGGTTTCAAAAAGCTCTATATTTTAACCTTTTAGTTTCACCAAAAACGTGAAATGCTTTTGATATAATGGGCTATAAAAAGTGTTGTCCAAAGGCCAAAAAGGAAGCTTATTTAAAGATCATTTAAAAATCCATTTTCGTTTCTGTCCATGCAGCCATTTAGAATCACAAGGATAGAAATAGGGTAGGGCCAAGATGGCAGAATAGACACTTCCGGTGGACCCTCTTACAACAAAGATCCGAAAAAACAAGTGAATTCATTATATATGAAAATCTAAGAGCCCTGAACAAAAAAGGGAAAGTTGAGGAACTGAACTGAGTGGCAGGGGGAGAGAGAGACGGTTCGGAACCAGTGAGGAGTTGCCAGACCTGACCTGGTGAGAGCCTGAGCCCTTCAGGCCTGATCAGCTCATGGGTGAGGGGTAAGGCAGGCAAGCAGCGGTGCTCGGAAGGCGCGTTTTCCACACCGGGGGAGACCTATCGGCAGAGAGACTACTTGGCCACCCAGAACCAGTGAGAAGCAGCCCTCAATCAGTGAAAGATAAGCACTTGCGTATGGCCTACCGCAGGGATCAAAAACACCCCCCTTAGAGAAAAATCTCTCTCCCAATTACCTCCCTGTTCCCTGCTCTGCACTGGATCCCAGACCGGCTTCAGCAATTGCCAAATTTCCTGGGCCGGAAGTAGGATCCGTCACATGCTCAGAGACATTCCCCCAACTTGGAGAGTGAACAAATTAACAAACGGGAAAAAATAAACTGTGGGCTCCTTTAAGCCAGGAAGCCAGGGTAGGCACAGCCCCTTGCCTAGTCAGAGGCATAAGGGATCCAAGGACTTTGAGTGCCTTTGCCCCAGCATAGACTTGTATGGGCCCATCTCAACAGCATAGGCCCTCATTACCACAGTACAACAGGGTATATACCTGAAGTCTAACTTCAATTGTTTCAGCTGTGAAGTGGCAGGTTTGTGACATTTGACACCACTCTGCCCATTAAGCAGGGTCTTCACCTACCCACATCAGGGGGCTGGGGACTGGTGGCTCCACCACTTCACCTAGCTACCTGTAATAGGGGCCCAAGAATAAGAGGTGCCCCTCAGTCCTTACAACCAACAGCATTAGGTGCTCATACTCCGGCTGCAAAACCCACCCACCTATGCGCTCTAGGGAACAGGGACACGCCTTCCTCCTGGACACTAGGGGGCGGCCATCAGACCACTGCCTTGCTCAGAGTGTGTCCCCCTGCTGTAGCCAGATGCCTGTGCCTACAACAATCACCCATGCCTGTCTAGGACTGTAAGTGAGAGCCTACACCACACGCTTGGTGGCTATTTACTTGGACGCCTGAGCTGAAGCCATACAGGAGGAGTGGGCAGACTCCCGAACTCACATACCTAGTAACAGATCTAACCACCTGGTGACAGGACATTAGAGCTTCAAAGGTACCAATAATCAAACTAGCTCATACAAGCAGCCTATTTGGGCATATCAAAACAAAACAAGAAACTAGGACACAGTAAGCAAACATAAAATAAATAAACATAATAACTTATTGATGGCTCAAGCACAAGAGTCAATATCAAATCACATAAAGAGGCAAACCATGATGGCTTCAGCAAGCTCCCAAAATAAAGAATCTAGAAATCTTCCAGAGGAGGAAAATTTCTTGGAATTACTGGAGGCAGAATATAAAAGATTAATATACAGAACTCTTCAAGAAATTAGGAAGGAAATTAAGCAAAACACAGAACACGTAATAGAGGAAATTAAAAAAGATTAGAGAAGAGCATATGACAAATTTGACAGGCTGCAAGAACCCATAGAGACAGCAATCATAAATCCAGAAGATTAACAATAAAATTTCAGAATTAGACAACTCAATAGAAAGTCATAGGAGCAGTATTGAGGCAATGGAAGTCAGAATTAGAAAGACTGAAGATAAAACACTTGACACCAAACTATTTGAGGAAAAATCAGATAAAAGGATTAAAAAAATGAAAACACCCTAAGAATTATGTGGGACTCTATCAAGAGGAATAACCTATGAGTGATTGGAGTACCAGAACTGGGGGGATAACAGAAAATACAGAGAGAATTATTGAAGATTTGTTGGCAGAAAACTTCCCTGATATCGTGAAAGATGACAAGATATCTACACAAGATGCTCATCGAACTCTAC